TGGAAGTTAACACTTTTGCTCAGAGAGGGAAAATGGATATTTATAAGAGAAATATTAACAACTAGAACCTTTATGAGAAAAAGGCTGTAATAAAACAAAACAGTTGCTTTTAAGAGATGCAGGATTTATATAGAGCTTTATCACAAATCAGTTGCCTTGAGTTTTTGGTGAGTGGGGCAGAGAAGCAAAATGGGTGATAAATGGACATTATATTTGGAGTCTGGAGATTTGGTTTTGAATTTTAACTGTTGTTCTTAATGACCTGAATTCTCAATTTTCTTGGGTATTGTTCTACTTTCTTTGGTTTTAATTCACTGTTCCTTTATACATTTATTGTGAAAGATATATAAATGAATTATTTTCAGCCTTTTTTCTAATATATATATTTTCTTCTGGGTATAACTTAAATTGCATCCTACAGGTTTTGATTTGTCATATTTTTATTGACAATTAGTTAAAATTATTTTCTAGTACCTGTTGGGATTTCTTCTTTGATCCATGATTATTTAGAAGTGTACTACCTACTAGTCAGAGAATATGGTTGATTTTAATTTTTTGTAAGCTACTGAGATATTAATTTCTTATGAGTATGATTATTTACTTTTTTGGTATATATGTTCTATCAGATTAAGCTATATTAAACTCCCACTATGATTGTGGATTTATCTATTTTATTTTTTTAGTTCTGTTACTTTCTGCTTTATATGGTTTGAAGCTATGCTCTTATAGACATTCAAGGTTAGAATCATTATATCTTTTTGGTACAGTGTATAGTAATCCTTTTATATCGTAGTAAAATTTCTTTTTATATATAGCAAGGCTTCATGCTTTATATATATTGGTATATTTATATCAATTTTCTCTTGGTTACTGTTTGCATGTTAATATTTTCATGATTACATTTTCTATCTTTCTATATCTTTACATTTAAGGTATGTCTCTTATAAGCAGCATCTTTAATTAACCTATTTGGCAATCTTTGTATTTTAATTGGAGTGTTTAGTCCTTTTATGCACTTAATGTAAATATTGGTTATTTGGAGTTAAATCTACTATTTGTTCCAGAAGTTCTTTATTTCTTCTAATTTCTTGCCCTTTTTGTATTAATTTTTATTATTCCATTCCTCACTATTATTAGCTTGTTATTTATCCATTCTTTTACAGTTATTTTAGTTTTTGCCCTATGGATTAGAATATTTATTCGTTATTTGTAAAAGTCTAATATAAGTTAGTGCTTTTACCATTTCCCAGACAATTCAACGAACTTAGAATGCATTAATACTATTTAAAACCCTCCCATCGCTTTGTTTGCTATTGTGTATTTGAATTCTGTGTATACAGGCAGTCCTTGCTTTGCATGGTTCCCATATGCATGAGGTTCAGTTACCATTATTTAGTTAAATTTAAATAATAACTGGTTCCAACCACATGGTTCAAGTTTGTTACCACAATATATTAACTATGAGTAATTGCATAAAGTACAAACTTTGCTGCCAGATCTTCAGTCCACGCATCACTATGTAAGTAACAGATGCACATCATGATAGGTGATCAATTACACTGCTCCTTTCAAAGTCATTGGTGATAGGTCACCTAGCATCTATTATTCAGTTCATACACAAACAATAAGGTGTGCAGTTGTGTTGCCTCCATGACTCTCAGTGATAAACCCACACAACATTTTATAAAAGAGGATAATTGAAAGAGGCAATTGACCAACAAAGATGGAAGAAACAAAGAAACAAAATGTGATAGTGCTGGAAGTGAAATTTGAATAAATGTAAATAGAATCATAGAAACTGCTAACCATGGGAACGTCCTTACTGCTACCATTTGAGAGACTCTAGACATTTAATAAGAGGAACTTAAGTGAAGGTGCATTATTGACATAAATAAGAAAAGTGGTTGTGAATAAAAGAATGAAGATGTCCCCAAAGAAATGATGCTGGTAAAAAAAAGAACTTACATTAAAGGGACTCTCAGAAATATTTTGACATTGAAAGAACAGAGGATAGATATTGGAAGCTGATCCAGACCTAGAAAGGAGTATGACAATTTGCCAAGACAGTGACGTGATACTCTCTTGTAAGTTATATATACAACAGAGAAAAATGTGTGTGCTATTCAAACTACTCTTGATAAGCTTTTTAGAAAGAAATAAAACATTTTACTTCTAAATGCTCCTAACGTTTAAAATTACAATGTGCTAAAAATATTAGTTTTACTATTTTTACTTTCCCCATGCATTTATAACCCAATAGTAAGAGAGATTTTAATGTTTTGACAAGAATTTTTGTCACAAAAAGTAATCTTTTTATCATTGATTAAGATCGCTTTGCACAGTTTCAGCATGCACAGTTTTATTATCCAACACTATCATGCAGAGCAAAGACTGCCTGTTTTTTAAACCCCATAAGACGTTTTGTTTTGTTTTGTACAGTCGAGGTTAATTTACATTTAGCTCTTTTGTTCGTTTGTTTTTGTTTTTTGCTTTTCATTCCCTCCTGTACCTCTGTGCTATCAGGTAGGATTATTTTCCTTTTGCCTTAATAATTCCCTTTAGCAGTTTCTTTAATATGAGCCTAATGGTGATGAATCCTCTCAGCTTTTGTTTGCTTGAAATGTCTTTCTTTTGTCTTCAATTTCAGAGAATCTTTTTGTTAGGTTGGCTGATATTTGCTGTTGTTATTTTTGTGGTTCTCCTTTTTGCAGATATCTTACTTTTTGCTTTGTGGATTCCATCATTTCTGTTGAAAAGTGAGCTTTCAGTCATGTTGTTACTTCTTTGAAAGTATTATGTATTTTTTTCCTCTGGCTGCTTTTTATGATTTTCTCTTTCTTTGATTTTTTAGCACTTTTACTATGATGTGCCTTGTTGTGGTTTTCTTTGTATTTATCCTTTAGGGGTTTGCAGTACTGCTTACATTTGTGACTTGATGTCTCATGAATTTTGGAAATTTTCTTTCAAATATTGCTTCTTTCATTCTTTCTCTTATTTTTCTTGGGATCCAGTAATAGGTATGCTAGACTTTTTAGTGTGGCACATATTTCTTTTTCTCTCCATGCTTCAGCTTGGATAAATTCTTCTGACCTAACTTCTAGGTTACTTACTCTCTTTTGACCTATGTATATCTGTTGTTAAACTCATGTATTTAGGTTTTATTTTAGTTATTGAATTTTTAAATTCTAGAGTTTCCATTTGATCCTTTCAAAAATATTTTCCAGTTCTATTCTAAAATTCTCTATCTTGGCAATTAAATTTTTGAATGTCTTGATCATAGTTATTTTGAAGTCTGTCTGATAACTCCAATATTTGAATCTCTTGTGGATCATTTTCTATTGTCTGTTTTCTTCTCTTGATTTTTGCCATAAATTCTTTATTTTTGATTTTTTTTGTATGCTTGGTTATTTTTTATTGAAAGCTGAGCTTTAGTCTTTGTGAGGACTGATCTATTTCCCATTATACCATACTTCTGGGATGAAGCTCTTTTTGGCATCCCAGCTAAAATCCTTGGGTGTTTACCAGGAACCATCTCCTTAGTAAGCCTTGAACTCCAGTTTTTATTTCCCTAGCTCTATGAGACTGCCTAAACCTCTGGGCAGCCTCTCAGCTGTTGTTTACAGTTTAGAAAATACTTCAAGAGGAAAGTAATCAAATGTTGTTTTGGGGATTTGCTTCTCTCCCCTTAAGTTCTTGCTGCCTTCATAACACTCAAATACCTTTAAACAGATTTTTTTCCAGCTCCTCTAGTTGTTTTCAAACCAATGGTTGATATAATAATGTCCGCTAGCCTACCATAGCTGGAGACAACTTTCTGGGCCTCAGTATTCTTAACACATTATTGTCTGGGGGATTTTTGCAGAAACTAATACCTGTGGCCATAATACGTCTCTGGTCAAAAATGTGTTAAAGGCAGCGTACTGTATTACATAGGGAAAGAAGACTTGAGTCACATATTTATGAAGTAAAACCTCTGACCCTATCCATTAGTAACTCTGTGACCTAGGATAATGTATTTAGTCTCTCTACATTTATGCTTTTCTTAAATAAATAATATAAATGATAATCTCTACTTCACAGGGTTGTTTTTTGAAGGTTAAATAAATAAAGTACTTAAATGTTCAGCATAATGTTTAGAACATACTAAGTATTCATAGATTTTGAATAGAACATAGTATTTTTGTTCTTCATCAAGAAAAGAGAGTTAATATTTCATAATACATGGCTGCTTAAAAGAATGTAATGTGATTATTTGTGTAAAACTTTTTATAGATTGCAAGGTACTACAGAAATAAAAACAATAATTATTTATGAAGTGTATTGATTGGTTTTATGTGGGAGGCACTGTGCTAAATGCTTACATGCATTATGTCATTCAATATTTATAATAAGCATATTAAGTTGGAACTCTTATTACCATTATTTTACAAATGAGGAAACTGAGGTTAGGAAGGATTACATGACATGTCCAAGGTTAGATAATGAGATTGCTGTGACCTAACCACTAGACCACCAGGGAACATCAAGGTTAGACAATGACAGGCAAAGAAACCAGGGTTTTAACCCAACTCTGACCAACTCCAAAGCCAGAGCTCTTAACTCCACTCCTGTTCTAATCTCACAAGGCTACATTTCTCTTTCCTAAATGAGGGGAAAAAGTTAGTTTTTGCAGAAACTTGCACAGGCCCTGGAATCCAGTAGGTGGTCAGTAAATATTTATTGACTTACTGATATCCGTGTCAATAAAATCTGTTGACACAGTAGTAATAGAAAGAAATGACAATTCAAAAAGAGGACTTCTAATTTTGTCTTTAACTTCCAGCCATGCAAGTTAGAATTAGGATGAATTAACATAAACTGAGAGTGAGAACAAGTTAAGAATTGAATATAAATGGAAATTCTGACCCATGTTCTAGTTGCTATTGTCATCTGGAGCCCCCAAATTATCAATTAAGAGTGGCTGTGGCTTGGATTCATGCTTCACTTTTCATTGTACTTACATGTGAGTCATTTTACTCAAATTGTAGAAGGAATGTGATTCCAGCCGCTGCAGAGTTGCATCTATTGACAAGTAGCTGAACATCACAAAAATATAAAACAAAGTAGAAAGTTAGTAGGGTTGTGAACTGCAAACATACTATTAATTTTGATATAACTTCTTTGTCAGGGGCTTCCCAGGTCATGCAACATGCGCAACCCTCATGGTTTCTCCCTAATTATGTTAAAATTAGTTATTACTTTTTTAAGATCCTGTTTTATCTGAAAGTTTCCCAATTCATTGGACCTATTCATTCTTCTGGTTTCATTCAACAGATACTTCCTTTAGAAGCTTTCTCCAAATTTCCTGATTAGGTCAAATCTTGCATAGTATATCCTCATGGCACCATGAACTTCTCCTTCCACTAATTATCACAATGAAACTTTGCAAGTGTTTGGATGATATGTGATTGATGTCTCATTAGAGTACCAGTTCTCTGAAATGGGGAACTGTCTGTTTCTGATGGATACTGAAGGTACACTCAAAGTACCTTTCATATTGCTTGTCATGTAGTAGACTTCCAATAAATATGGATTAAGTGAATGACTGAGTGAATGAATGAACAGGTGACTTACTCAAAATAGCAGAAAATGAAAGACGTTAGAAAAGAATTCACCAATAAATAAGAGGCATTTTTAATGGAGTAGCTAATTGCATGAGGTCAGAGATGTAGTTACAAAGAAGATGAAGAAAAAGCCACATTTCTCTAGTGGAACATTCCATAGGGTGGTGACTATATATTCTCTCAAGACTTCTCTTCTTGATTTTGAGAGGCTGAAAACTCAATATTTATTTTGAAATTTGTAACTGAAAGGCAACACAAATAAAAGTTTTAAGTACTAAAAAGGAGAAAAGAGAAACTTCTAAATACAACTTGTCAAGAATACATAAGGGATGATGTTTCAAAAAGTCTCCTAAATTCTATCTTGTAATAAGAATGACTAATGCAGCCAAATTCAATGATGGCTTTTTATTGAGAGGCATTTCTATGACATTTGGGAAAATTAATGATTAACAGATGGTGTCCACCTGTGGCCGTAGCAGAGCTTCTCAACCCTGGCCATACAACTGAACTATTTGGGAGGCTTTTAAAACATAAGATGTCCAAGACTCGGTCCAGGATAATTAATTCAGAGTATTTAAGGGATGGGGCAAACATTTTTATTTTTAAAAAGCTTCCCAGATGATTCTAATGCGCAGGCAGGGTTAAGAACCACTGGCCTATAGTTTGAATTGAATCTGCCAGTAAAATATTTTCATTAATACAATTTTTATAAAAGGAGTGCTGACTGTTCCATTTGAGTGTTTTTCTCATGGGTATTGTGTGTATTCTAAAGGTCCTGTGCTTTCTGTTTTGAATTATCTACTCTAAACAATTATCCTTTGGTTTATCAGGTCTCCCAAGTCATTGCCACTTGTGGATAACATTACATAAATTATTTTGATCCAAATATCATACCTCTAACATAGAGGGAACCACTGAAGATGTTGAAAAGAATTAATTTATTGTGTAGAGATTGTGGGGATTTATAATGGATGAAGCTGAGCCATCTGAAGTACAAGATTAATTTTGAAGGCTGCAAACTTGTTTTCCTAACTTTGCATCATATCCACTGCTCCAAATTTTCTCCCGAATTTCTTAGTTTAGGAGGTGCAAAGCTTTCTTAAGGTTTTAGTCATTCATCACATGTCATGATCACTGAAGTTCCAATTTCTCCAACTGAATGTTACCTCCTTAGAGGACTCTTATAGCTTGGTTGCGAAGACAACATATAGGAACCATTTATTCAGTGGGATAAGAGCAGTGATTCCCTACTTGCTTATCCCATTTTTATAATCAGGAAAAATCAGATCCCACCTCCTCCTCATATTTCTTCTAAGCATGCAAGTCTCATGTAATAACTAGATTATAGATGATTAATATCATTAATCATCCAAAATAGGATCTTTTTGTGAGTTAATGCAGGGTGCTATTAATAATTATGCCAGAATAATAGGTGGGAATTTGTACTGTTCCACGCAAAGCTACCTGGTGATCTCTTGCCCCGTAGATGTGACAGCTCCCTAACTATTATTTAGGTATGTGTGTATGCTTTCATTCAACAAATATCTATTAAACATTCACTATATGTCAGTAAATGAGCATTGACCATTCAGACCTGTTCCCTAGCTTCAAGGAACTCACAGTAGTGGGAGATACAGACAGGTAAATGGGATTAACATGTAGAGTGATAAATTCTCTGATGGGGTTCAGGGCACACTTAACCCAGACTGGAGAATCTAAACATAGTCCCCCTGGAAGAGTCCTCATCAGGACCTTCAAATCTGCCTGGATGCTCTGAATATCTCAGTCAAACTTCCTTCTTTTATTGCCCATCATTTTATTTCAAACCTTCTCAAATTTCTAACTCTGCCCTTTCTACCCAAATATTAGTAGATAATCTTTTTAATAATTTGTAGAAAATATTGAAACCTTGAGATGAGAATTCCTGGAATCCCTCTCTAATAAGCCTATTAATTTACCTGCACCTGCCCCATCTCTAACTACTATTTCTCGTTATAGTACAAAAGGTATCCATCTTCCTGTAAAAGGTCAATCCCTCTATTTGGACCCCATTCCCTCCTGCCTTCTTAGGGACCTCATGTTCTTAAAATTGTTCTTTCTTCAGTTTTTTTTTTAAGCCTCTCCTCTTTGATGCCTTTCCCTGGTCCCAGTTACTTCTACCTGTTTATGACTCTCAAGTCTTAATCTCTACCAAAATCTCTCCTGAGTGCCCCTACATACCCAGAATTTCCAGTTCTCCTTAGTCTACTTTGATTTTTTTTCCTTTTTGCCATATCCATATTCCCTTCTGTATTAATATATTTATTTATTATGTTTTTGGTTCCTTGCCTATTTCTTTTCGTTCGAATGTGAACTCCACAGGGGCATGGCTCTCTGTGCATTTGTTCCCTGATGTATCCCTATCTCTTGGAAAAATGATTGATATATACCAGGGACTGAATAAATATTTCTTGAATGAATTAATAAAAGAATTTTATCCTGATATCTATTAGACATAGCTGCTGGATGCCTCAAAGGCACCTCAAATGCCACAGGCCCCAAATTGAATTCCTAACTTACCCCCTGTCCCTCCACAGCAAATGCACAGAAAACTTCTCTACCTTGGCAAATGTGCTCATCAACCACACAGGTGTCCTAGTCAGAAATGTCGTTGAAATTCTCCATCTGTTTCCCCCTTCAAAATCAACCAACTTTTAAGTTTGTCCGCTCTCCCTTATTTCTCAAACCTGGCCACTTTTTCTTTATTCCCACTCAGCCTTCACCATTCAACCTGCCGTTCCCTCTCCCCAGGCACTGCATCGACCTCCTCACTAACATCCTGTCTCCAGCCTTGCTCCACTTCCACCCCTTTTCCACAGCCCAGCCAGGGAATATTTCTAAAACATCTGATCTCTCACTTCCCTGCTTATAATCGTTCTGTGGCTTGGTCCTTAGGGAAGATTTCAAACTCCTTCAAATGATTCACAAGGCCCTGTACTCACTTCCCTCCCAATTTTGTTTTTCTCTACTGTCCCCACTCCCAGCCTAAGCTCCAGCCTCAACAAACTTATTTTTAACTTCACTGACATCCCTTTTCTCTTCTGCTTGGAACTATCTTTCCATCTTTTGTTTTTTGGCCAGATAATACACATTGCAAATTAGGCACCATTTCCTCCAGGAAGCCTTCCCTGACCCCACCCCATACCCAGGTAACAGACCTCTCATATGAGTTCCCAGGTCACCCTAGAACTGACCCCATCATGGCACTTATCACTCTCTTAGGAAGGAAACTGGAGGCTCCATAAGTATTGTCTACTGTTGTACGTGACACATCTAGCAAAGCGCCAGGCACAAAGTAGGGCTCAATAAATATTCATTGAATGAATGAATGAATGAATAGAGCCAAGTAGAGACACCAAATAGGCAATTGTATAGGGGAGATCAGGGAAAAGGAAGAGCTAAAGGGGAATTTGAGGCTTTTAGCTTTCAGACCACTAAATGGTGCTGCTGTTACAAGAAGGAGTAGAGAGGGAACAGTTTAGGAGGAAGATGATGAGTTTATTTTGGATATGTTGTTTGAAGTGTCTGTGGGACATCAAGGTGACACTATTTGGAAGGAAGTTTGTAATACAGGCCTGAGCTGCAGGAACAACTCAGGGGTAGAGATACTCATTTAGGAATTAGTTGTATTAGGTAATAGTGAAGCCAAAGGAATGGGAGTTTTCATTCAAGGTGCGGAGGGTATAAAGGAATTAGGACAAAATAAACAAAGAACTGGTATGTAAGTAACTGAATGAAATGAAATGAAATGAAATAGGAATCCAGGAGAGGAAATTGAGGAAGAGTAGCCAGGGTAAGATGTTAAAAAGAGGGAGAGAACAACAGCAGGGAAACCAAAGGAGGCAAGAATTTGAAAAAGGAAGGGCTGGTAGAAAAAAAAAAACTGCAGAGATGTTCAGCTGGGATGGTTTCTCAGTCTCAGCACTACTGACATTGTAGACTAGATAATGCTTTGTTGGAGGTGGGGGGCATCCTATGCCTTGTAGGATGTTGAGTACATCCTTCACCTCTACCCCTTAGATGACAGTAGCACCCTTCTCTCCAGTTGTGACAACCAAAAACATCAAATGCTCCTGACATGACACAATGGACACTCAATAAATGGTAATGAAATGAATAAATTTAGCCGGAGACCACACGGGCTGGTGGTAATGTCATTGGTAGGCCTGGATTATCTGCATTGCTTGTCAGAATCAACTAAATGAAATAAAGACCTGGCTCATTTCAGACACATACACTCTTTGTCAGTGCAACATGGAACCCCTTTTTCTCCTCACTCTTGAGTGTATAGCAATTCAGTTTTCTACGATTTCAAATTTTCAAATTAATTTTAGTTATTTTTTAAAGTGAGAAGTCTGAAATCACTGGCTACATTTATGACAAAATGTAAACGTTTGTACTAGCGGTGAAAAGAAAATCAAGAATTGGTAACTGGGATAGATAGATTAGAGATAGATATATAGATCTGTTTATGGGAGAGAGTCCTGGCTAAGGTTTTGCCACATCTCAAAATATATTGAAATACATCAAGAATTATTAAATTCTTAAGGCCAAAGGAATTTAAATTTACTTTAGGTTTAAAAAATCATTTAGGAATTAGGGAATAAATATGTAGCCAAATCAAATAAACATCTTGTACATAAACTTCATATATATTGGAAATGTAGAATGTTATTGACTTATGCAAGTGCGATATATAACAAGTATTTTTCTTGATAGAACACATTTAGAAAATAACACGTCACAATTGCAAACTTCTCTTTATATTAAAAAAAATTGACTTACATCCTGGAAATATTGGGCAGATTTGAAAATGCATGACTGGGAATGGTTTTCAGATGAGTCTCTATAAACTTCCTATGAAAATAACAGTTACACAATTAGAGTTTAAATCATTAGACTTTTCTAGTAACCCACCTTAATTATACAGAACACATTATTAGAAGCATGACAATCCTTACAATGTATACTTTATCATACATAAGCAAGAAAACAATTTTTCCCCCAACAAAACAAGAATTGAGAGTGAGAATCAAATGCAGACAATAAATCTTCAAACTTTGCCTTTGAATTATCAGTGAACTAGTGTGCCTTGTATAACATCATATTTAATTTGTTAATGGAAGGGCAACATAATATATTCATAAGTTTATTAGGACTACTGAATTCACGGTCAATGGAAATATCTTGAAATGCCACCAGAGTATGTATTAAGAGGATTAAATGCATTTGATACATCTTAAAGATTAAATACAGTGGTATGATTATAATCTTTTTGCCCAAGCAAAGGTCTCTTCAACCATTACCTTGATCTTATCGTCAACTTGCTGCAATTTGGAAATAAATGACTGACAAGGAGCTAATTCTTCTCAGGATCATGATGTCTTTGTTGCATATGCAACCAAAAGGTTGTGCCTTTTCTTCCAGTTTGCTTTTTTGTTACTTTTCAGAGTGGTTTCCTTACTCAATGAGACCTCTTTATGCATTCCAGTATGTCTCCACCTTGATCCTCCATTTTTTATTGTCTTTCTTTGTTACAGCAACTGCTTGAATAGAATTCTGTATGGAGAAAGGTGTACTTACTGTTCTAAGCTGGCTTTGCAAAAAGCCAATGCCTCACCATGCTTATCCTCTTCTCCGAGGGTCTGTTTTTGCCATTTAAATGTTGGTAATTACACATTGTTCATTTGCTACCTTTTTAAAAGACATCATACTGAGATTGTGTATTTTTCCTTCTAGGCTGCAGGGTTTTTTCTCAGTAATCTATTTCCTTGATCTATGTACTCTTTGAACTACTAATTTTTGCAGTGATTGAAATATATTTAGAATTTCTGGTTTCTGGTTCTGCATGACTGGAGCCTGGAAGTCACCCCTCCCTCCTAACAGTAAGCAAAAAGTTGAACAGACTGAAAAATCAACAGCTCTTCTTGGATCTGTGTGACAGGGGAAGACATAGGGCAAACCACTGTCCCCAGGACTGGAGAGACAGGTAAATACAAGGAGTCCCTACTTCCCAGAGCAGAGACTCATGAGCAAAAACTATAAGGGGGAACCAGTGCCAGGGCAGGGTAGGAAAACCTGAGCTGTGATTGACCAATTGCCAGAGGTGCAGTGCAGACAACTCTGAGAGCTGGAAATTCTAGGAGAACCTAGTCACAGGCGGACTTCCACAATTTTGTGAGATTTACCTCCAGGAGTTCCACAAGCTTCTAAGAGTAAACACTAGGGAAAAATCCCATTGTGCTTCTGTCACAGGGAGGGGAAAAGGAACCATCTGGAAATACGGTTGACCCTTTAACAATGGAGGGGTTAGTTAGGGGCACCAATGCCCACACAGTCGGAAATCCACTTATAACTTTATAGTTGGCCTTCAGTATCTGCAGTTCTGCATCTGCAACCAACCACTGCTGGATCAAGTAGTATTGTAGTATTTACTACTGAAGAAAATCCACGAATGAGTGGACCCATGCAGTTCAAAGCCATGTTGTTCAAGGGCCAACTGTACATCAGAGCACTCTGTTCTTTTTAACAAGGCCTACCCTCAGGGGAAACTAGTTATCCAGACCCTGTGGAAGGGAAATACACAACTCCAGCTCACTCTAGCCATTCTGCCCTACCTAAGGGGGAGAGAAAAAACCTGAGAAACACTTGTGAAGTTCACATTCCAGAGGCATAGGCTCACTAAAATACCTAATCACAGGAATATAGCACACTACCCCTCCCCTGACATCTTATCACCACGTTACTAAGACCTATTTATAGCCATTCCTTTTACCCAGTACATCATGTCTGTCTATCAAGAAATACATCTGTAACTTACCTAATCAAAGCCTCAGTAAAACCAAATTAATTTATAAAAGGGGGCAGAGGGAGGCAACCTGAATGATAAAAGGGTAGATTGTCAGCCCTTTGCAACACTGGTGATTCAGCATAAAGTGCAATATGCCTTCATATGATTCCAGAAATTCAGGTCCCATAGATGACCTGTACTCCCTCACAGGTCTCCCACTTACATTCCCTTAATTGGATTGATTAAAAGCCTGTTGGTCCAGATCCAAGTTTCTGAAGTTAAAAAGAAATGAGAATAACAAGTCGTTGGGACTAAAATCTCCCAGTAAAATTGGGCCATGCCTAAGAAAAACAAAGGATAAGGTACACGCCTGTTGGGTATCACCCGAAGAGACTTGCTTAAGCTCACAGATAGTCTTACTTATAGAGCATGTCCTAAGGCATGGATATTGAGGGCATATTTATCTAAGATTTTGCATGCTGCTTGTAGGTAATGCGGATTTAATTTGTAACTTTCATTGGCTAAAAATTTGGGGGTTTATTCTGTCTTTATAAGTAAAGAAACTATACTTAATTTAAAAGAAAATTAGAGTAACAATGGTTTCAGAGAAGTTTGACTTGGAACAGAAATAACATCTAAATGCAATTTAATAGCCTTTGGTTAAAGTTTCAAATAATGTTTATATCGTTTTCCAATATATGAATTTCTGAAATTTGTAATACACGTTTCTTGGATTCTCTCTTTCTCTTTCACACACGTAAACACACACACACTTTAAGTCAGAACAAAGATCTTTTACCTACTACTGAGTTAGTTGTAGTTGATGGAGTTCAGGACACACTATCCCAAAACATATTGTGTTGGCATACTGAATACTTTAAGCTGGGGGAATCTGAGAAGCAGAGGTGTAGGAAGGATTCTCTGACTCCCCTTCACACTCTGAAGCAAGCCCTAAGACCCTCATGTGAGAGGTGCCCTCCCTGGAGGAAAGGAGCAGCCTTATCACAGAAGACAGAGGGATGCCGAGGGGATTCTGAATAAACAGACCTTGCAAGTTTCCCCTAGTTTACTATTCTCAGCTCATACGCCTTTGTCCTATCACATTTTCCCACCACTTTCCTATCATCATTAAACCTAGCATAAGAATGCTCAAGTTTCATCACTTCTTCAAGTCTTCATTTCTTCATAAATGCTCCCATGTCATGTAAAACTTGCATTAAGTATATTTGTATGCTTTTCTCTTGCCACTCTGTGTTTGGTTACAAAGCCCTAGCTGAGAACCTAGAGGAGTAGAAGGGAAATATTTTTTTTTCCTCACCTACATGCAGAATGTGTTTTAAAAGACAATCATTTTTGAAATGCTAACATTTTGCTTGATTGCACAAACAAGATATTCTTCTCAGCCAAATTTCTCATCAAAGAAAGCCACCCATATAAATGCACTGATAAGAATTACGTATCTCAGTACAGCTGTCTTACTAATGATACAATATGCACAATATTCTTTCCATTGTCTACATTTTCAAAAGCAGAACTTTATTCAAAGAATTTTGTGACATGTGATTACTGCTTTTTTTTTTTTTTTTTTGCTTTACACGGGCATCTCACTGTTGTGGTCTCTCCCGTGGTGGAGCGCAGGCTCAGCGGCCATGGCTCACGGGCCCAGCTGCTCCGCGGCATGTGGGATCTTCCCGGACCGGGGCACGAACCCATGTCCCCTGCATCGGCAGGCGGACTCTCAACCACTGCGCCACCAGGGAAGCCCGTGATTACTGCTTTAAAAGCAGATGGGAGAGGAAAGAAAGCAAATGATTGTAATTATTTGGCCAAAATGTTTTATTTTACTTTCAGAATACATTTTGAATATTTTTGGAAGAGAAAAATACATATCTAAGAGTATATTCTTTTGATAAATACATTAGAAAAGCTTCAAGGTGTTATACTATTATCCAAAGGATTAGCATCAAAATAATGTTTATTTCGTATGAAAATACACCAGGTACAGAAGAGACTCTGCTTTTTTTTTTTTTTTTTTTGATGGTTCAAAATAAGAAGGCAATGATTATTCTCTCTAAAATAGAATGGGGGCTTCCCTGGTGGCGCAGTGGTTGAGAGTCCGCCTGCCGATGCAGGGGACACGGGTTCGTGCCCGGGTCCAGGAGGATCCCACATGCTGCGGAGCGGCTGGGCCCGTGAGCCATGGCCGCTGAGCCTGCGCGTCCGGAGCCTGTGCTCTGCAACGGGAGAGGCCACAACAGTGAGAGGCCCGCGTACTGAAAAAAAAAAAAAAAAAAAAAAAAAA